GTATTTCACCCGTAATATTAATTCCCACCGATATCTAACTCGAACACCACCCTCTTAAAAGGGAGAATCGAGGGAGAATCGGAAAAAAAAGCCTATTCCACACTTTCCGGCTTATCAGGACGCGATGGCATTGTGGGAAGCGGAGAGCGTTTTGTTTGTGGAGTTATTTGTTTTCATGCTTTAGTTGGTTGCTTTTTTCACGGCCAGAACTAGCGCATTGTCGGGCATTCGGAAGGGAGGGTCATCGGGTGAGTATCGCCGAGGGGGCTGAGGTGGGAAATAAGGGAGAGGTTCGAAATAAGGGAGAAGTTCGTCGAATTAAGGGAGAAGTTCGGGGTTTAATAGCAAGAGGGCGATGTGCCAGCGCGTTCATTTCGCCGCCTGGGAAATGTATAACTGCTTCTCTTAGCTTATTAAACGATATTTATGACCGAAAGCTGAAGCCACGAAGTATCCCTAAATCGTATTTTCCCCAGCTGTTATGGTTGCCAAAAGATAATACAAATCCAGTGGGTTTTTTTTTGAGAGTTTTGTTTTGGGTCTTGTGTGTGTGTGTGTCTCTCTCTCTCGCCTTCAGAAGCCGACTCGGGATGGGATTTTTGGGGGGATTCTGGGATTCTCTTCGAGGGAATTAGAGGGGGGGGGGGAAGAAACTTTGAGTCGTTGAAGTTCATAAGTGTCAGTTTCTGCCCCTTTTAATAGATAACAGAAGGAGAGAAAAGTCCTGTCGAAACAAAGGCTTTGGAGAGGTAAACAGTAAGGATACGTGTGTCCTCTGTTGGGAGACGTTCACCACATTTCTGTCTCTCTTTGGTGAAGCTTCTGCACGTAATTGAGCTTTGCAAAGAGGAAGACAGTTCTCGTTGATATTTGTTGATAAATGTAGTCTTGGTAGTAATAGGTTATCCTGTAATTTGACATTTGATAAGAATATTATTTGACAAATGGAGCTTGGGAGTAACAGGTGATATTTGGTCATTTTTACTGTAATACTCTTTTTTTGAGACTCTGGCAGAGTTAGTTTTCATTAATTTGTAAGTAAATGGGTGAATTGGATAGATATTTTATAAGTACATGGCCAATTTCTGGTTGGATTTCAAATTATTGGGAATATATTAGTTTTGCCTGACCACCCAACTTTGCAATTAATATTCCATGTTTTAGTTGTTCACACTGTAGGACACGGGAATCTCTTAGTCTGATTGCCATAGATTTGTTTTCAATGCGGCAGTAGTAGTAACCTAGTTTCTTCTTTTCTGTCAATGTGTTTTGCCGGTACAGATTATTTAATTTCTCGATGAATTCAGTGAATTCAGTGAATGTAGTTTTTCCCTTTGTTTATGGTAGTGTCATTACATTTTCTTGTAATTGTATAGTATATCAAAGTATTAAGTGTCGTTCAAGGAAATAACTCAGATGAGATTGTTATATTTTCGTTCATTCTTTCCAACACGGGCAAATTTTACCTTACATCATAAGTCTGTGTGAGACGGAAACTATACCAAGTTATTTAATAAAGATACAGATGACCAAGTTCTAAAAATGTATTTTATATTAGTAAAGACTTATCATCAACCCCTTTGAAGCAGATGAAGTGACCTTCACATCATGAAAAATTTTGGCCAATTGGTGGAGAACAAACTGTCTCAGATAAATTTGGCCGAGGGCTAGGGTGGGAGGAACATGCCGTCGTTAGAATTTCAGCTGAAGGCCGGGGGTGGGATTGACTCGGCAGGAGTACGCAAAGGTCTTGGAGGGCAAAAAAATGTATTTTATATTAGTAAAGACTTATCATCAACCCCTTTGAAGCAGATGAAGTGACCTTCACATCATGAAAAATTTTGGCCAATTGGTGGAGAACAAACTGTCTCAGATAAATTTGGCCGAGGGCTAGGGTGGGATACGCAAAAGGTCTTGGAGGGCAGTTAGACTCAGTGGGCATTTACAAAGGGGCTCTTGCTCTATTCCTTTTGTATTAAATTTGGAATGAGCCATCTGTAAGCCATGACTGGAAGAGGACTGGCTCAAGGGAGGACATTATTTCCATGCCCAGGATCCCGTTTGTGCCAGCTTTGACTGGGGGCTGAGATTGTTTTACAGAAAATAAAAGTAAAAAGACATAAATAACAAAATGTTACTTGCTGTTATTATTATTGCAGTGAATTATGGACTACCTAGAACGATATGGAGTATCAGCAAGTAAAACAGTCAGTTGCCATCTGGATAGAACATATCAGATGACAAATATTAATATTAGAAAATGGCCAAAAAAGCTAAAAAAAAAATGCTTATACAGAAAGAGATAATAACATTGCAAAGGGGAGGCATGGAATCTTAGTCAGTGCATGAACGTGTTTGTCTGCAACTGACCTAGAAGCCACACACGCACCCGCGAGATTGGCCACTCGAGTAATCCTAAGGCTCGTTTGGGCAGCGAAGCACCTGGATCCAAGGGGTCAAGTTGTGAACTGCTCAGGAAAATTGAATGTTCAAATATCTTATTTAGAAGGAGAGCACAATTTCCCTACTATATTTATATTTATTCCAAGTAGTAGAATGTTGAGAATTACCTGAATATGATCTCACTATATAGAGAAATATGTAAACTAAAAAGTTATAATAAAATCAGTTAAAAATATGCTTTACAACTTGTGCAGTTCTTTGTAGCTAATTAAAAAAACACAACTACTGTCTGTTGGATGAGACCAAAACCCTGTGGAAATATTATGAGGGAAAGGGAGGTACTTGCCATCTTTAACCCCTTGCCAATGGGCATGGCATGTATTTACATGCCATGCCCATTGGTAAGGGGTTACTTGTTTAATTGTTTTTACACTTAGATGGCTACACTTGTACTAAATCACCAATGAGCCAGTTACGAGTTCCGCCTGTCTTGCCTGTTCAGCCTTTTCATTGATTTCCGAAAATATTTAATGTTATCTTATTGCTGCGGCGGCATATTGATATACCGAATCCCGTGCTCAAATTTGGCGCGTTGCCATTGATCTCCAGAGCGTAGATTTTTTTTCTTTCTTTTTTTTTTTCCCACCCCCCCACCCGTCATCAAGGGGTTAATCAATAACTCCTTAATCTGAACCTTGTGTCATAACAAATTGCATGATCTGTGGAGTACACCAGAGTGCGTGGAGCTGGACGTTCTGCTTGATATGGACTCTCATACCCAGTGTTTGACCGTTGCCAAAAATCACCAGAGTTTATCATGCTCAGGGATTTCTGTTGCCCAGCGGTGATAGGTTAATTGATGGAAATAATAAGTCTAATCGTTCAAGAGTTTTGTGCACTCTTGGTGGGTCATTTGAGTCATCCCGTCCCACAGCCAAATTTTCCCATGATGGCATGTTCACGTCACCTGCCCCTCAAGCCAAATTTTTTGGCTTGAGGGTCATCTGGGTCGTAGTAGTTAAGATTTGACTATTTTACTGAAACTGGACTGTGTAGGAGTTATTAATTATTGATACTAAAACTTCCTGGAAGAAAATCCCTATCACTTTCCAGTAATTTCAGATTCACATTTATGCAAAAGTTAGATTATAGATTTTATAGATTTAATCATTGTCCAGAAAATCATTTAGATTTTGTAGGAGACTGTGCTAGAGTAATAACTGTGTTTTTCTCCCAACAGAAAAATGAGTCACTTAGAATGTGGCTCAGTGGTGTGGGTGAGGCTGGGCCAGGCATGGTGGCCAGGAACAGTGACTACCATGGCCAAGTGCCCACCAGAGTTTGTGCAAGGAATTAGGAAAATGCCACTTTCCATCGTCAAATTCTTCCATGAAAATGAATTGTAAGTATATGATTTCCTGTTTTAATCTTTTAGTGGAAACTGAATTCATAGGAGTCAAATCCAAATTGTTTTGTAGTCTCATTGGTTTTCCTTTACATACTTATGCTAAATTACGTGTTTCATGTAATGGACAAAATTACTAATTTTTTGTAGGTATTTAATTGTTGACAGGTTTGTCCCAGTTGTGGCAAACAGAACTGTGTATATATTCAACAAATAGGCATGTTCATATCAAATAAGGCTTTAGACAAGAGGATCTCACTGTTTTATGAAAGACAGTGTCCCAGATTTACATTTTTTCATTTAACTCTTTTCTGTTTTATTTGTCATTTTGTCACTTATCAAGCTTAAATACTCACTGTTGCTAAGATGAGGAAATTTTTTGCACACCTGTATTGTGGTTCCTAGTTGCCAACAAGGTAACAAGGAGGAAGATATGGTGTCTTAGGTGTCTGTCTATATACATACGTGTACACATACATACATACATAATTCATATATATATATTTAATTATTTATTTATTTATTTGTAATTATTATTATTATTATTATTATTATTATTATTATTAATAGTAAAAGTAGTAAGAGATTATGATTTTGAAAAGAGTAAGAATTATGATATTGAAAGTTCAGCCAACATACACTGTTTTTGGAATATTATGATTCTTTCAAATGTACACTTCATCATTTTTCATTTTTTATTGATCTCAGAGCGCATTTAAAAACAAAAACATACTAATATACAGATAGTCCCCTACTTAAGAACATTCTACTTACGCACATTCCGTACATACAAACTTTTTTTTTTAAATACTTAAGTCAAAAAAATTCTTTGAAATATGCTAGCAAACTTCAAATTTCCCGGTCGCGAATATAGTTCAAGAGTCTGCCACGCTCACTCAGCTGTGCCATCACTCGACTGCCCTCCCGCCATAAACACAAAAGCCTCTCTTCACTGTGTCCTCGTGTACTGCCAATTTTTGTGCCATAATTCGCTTTACCTGTGCATTAATCCATCAAAAATGTCGGTTGTGAAGTGCCAAGAAACGTCAGGCTATAACTTTATCGATCTTATGATCGGTTCCCAGCCAGTCACCACTATGTACAGGTATTCTTAATGTAAACAAAACTTTAAAACAATGGGGAAAAAGGCAATGGAGACCCGACTTTCGACATACAGTCAAATCGACTTCCGAACAACCTCTCGGTCCCCATTATGTCCATAAGTTGGGGACTTATTGTATATATTTTTTTAACCCAATGCTGCCAGGGAAAATGAACAAAAAATGGGGAAAATGCTGTGCCCATTTTCTATGTTCTTCGTAAAATGTCTGCCGATAGATGGCTCTGTTAGCGCCTGATTTGAAATGGCGGAAAAAACGTGTTTTTCACTAGTGCCATGAAAATCGATGGTGTTATTTTTATCATAAACATTATAATTACTATAATGTTTTTTAACATTAGTAACCGCAAAATAAGATACGTAAGATATTTCGTAAATCAAAGAAACGGGTAAACGGACGAGACGAGCAGTACTTGTAACTGGCTCATTGGGGAGTTAGTACAAGTGTTGCCATCTATGTGTAAAAACAATCAAACAAGTACTCACGATGGGCATAGCACGTACGTACACGTCATATCCGGCGGCATTGGGTTAATAGTTGTATCGGTGAATATTCTACAAGACTTGAAAATGAAAAGTAGGGTGTCTTCCAGCCCTGAGTTTATATTGTAATTTCTTTGTTCAAATTTTATTCATATATGTAAAGTGGGCAGGATATACCTGTTCCACATTTTTCTGATTAGAATTTGTATTCATGTTAAAGCCCTCCAAAGTTCATAAGCATGAGATACATATTTCTCTATAGGTAGTGCTTGTTTTTACAGAATAAATCCATGATTAAAAATTGTAGGACAGAGAAATTCTGACCATTTTCTTTGCTTAAAATGAAACCAGTCACATTTTCATCACTGAAAAATTATGAGCTCTTTAAAGGTTGAAAAACAAATAGGTAGAGGTTTCATTATTTGCATTAAGAGCATTTAGTAGGATTTTAGTTTCTGATTAGTCCTTTACATATAAATATAAGTACACTTTCTTTTCATACATTTACTGGTATGAATTAGTAAAATCAAAACCAAATTTATATATTTCATGTTTGTTTGTTTACATATTTGTCTGTTTATTTATTTATTTATTATTTATTTATTTATTTATTTATAATTTTGCATCCTTTTATTCTTGCCTGAGATCTCAGACTTAGTTTTGAAGATTGATCCAGTGATTTTTTTTGAAATTCTAAGAAAAAGAAAAGCTAAGGGTGAAAATTGGAATACCCTGCAATGAAAGAGAGTATTTTAGACATATCCATTCCACTTATAAAAAAAAAATCTTGGCATACAATGGATGATAAACAATATTCTCCCAAAGTTGCCTTATGTACAATACCATGAGGGAGGGAGGGAGGAGGCAGGGTGGAGGGAGGGAGGGAGGGTGGAAGGAAGGAGGAGGGTGAGAGGGAGGGAGGGAGGGAGGAGGGAGGGAGGGTGGAAGGAAGGAAGGAGGAGGGAAGGAGGGAGGGAGGGTGGAAGGAAGGAGGAGGGTGAGAGGGAGAGAGGGAGGGAGGGAGGGTGGAAGGAAGGAAGGAGGGAGGGTGGAGGGAAGGAAGGAGGAGGGAAGGAGGGAGGGAGGGTGGAAGGAAGGAGGTCGGTGAGAGGGAGGGAGGGAGTGTGGAAGGAAGGAGGAGGGAGGGTGGAAGGAAGGAGGGAAGGAGGGTGGAAGGAAGGGAGGAGGAAGGGAGGGTGGAAGGAAGGAAGGAGGAGGGAGGGTGGAAGGAAGGAAGGAGGAGGGAGGGTGGAAGGAAGGAAGGAGGAGGGAGGGAGGGAGGGAGGCTGGAAGGAAGGAAGGAAGAGGGAGGGAGGGTGGAAGGAAGGAAGGAAGGAAGGAAGGAAGGAAGGAAGGAGGAGGGAGGGAGGCTGGAAGGAAGGGAGGAGGGAGGGTGGAAGGAAGGGAGGAGGGAGGGAAGGAGGGAGGGAGGGTGGAAGGAAGGAGGAGGGAGGGAGGGAGGGAGGGAGGGAGGGAGGGAGGGTGGAAGGAAGGAAGGATGGAGGAGGTGGAAGGAAGGAAGGAGGAGGGAGGGAGGGAGGGAGGAAGGAAGGAGGAGGGAGGGAGGGAGGGAGGGTGGAAGGAAGGAAGGAAGGAGGAGGGAGGGTGCAAGGAAGGAAGGAGGAGGGAGGGAGGGAGGGAGGGAGGGAGGGAGGGTGGAAGGAAGGGAGGAGGGAGGGTAGAAGGAAGGAAGGAGGAGGGAGGGAGGAAGGAAGGAAGGAAGGGAGGAAGGAAGGAAGGGAGGAAGGAAGGAAGGGAGGAAGGAAGGAAGGAAGGAGGAGGGAGGGTGGAAGGAAGGAAGGAAGGAAGGAAGGAGGAGGGAGGAAGGAAGGAAGGAAGGAGGAGGGAGGGTGGAAGGAAGGAGGAGGGTGAGAGGGAGGGAGGGTGGAAGGAGGGAAGAAGGAGGGAGGGAGGGTGGAAGGAAGGGAGGAGGGAGGGAGAGAGGGAGGGTGGAAGGAAGGAAGGAGGAGGGAGGGAGGGAGGGAGGGTGGAGGGAAGGAAGGAAGGAGGAGGGAGGGTGGAAGGAAGGAAGAAGGAGGGAGGGAGGGTGGAAGGAAGGAAGGAGGAGGGAGGGAGGGAGAGAGGGAGGGTGGAAGGAAGGAAGGAAGGAAGGAGGAGGGAGGGAGGGAGGGAGGGAGGGTGGAAGGAAGGAAGGAGGAGGGAGGGAGGGAGGGAGGGTGGAGGGAAGGAAGGAAGGAGGAGGGAGGGTGGAAGGAAGGAAGAAGGAGGGAGGGAGGGTGGAAGGAAGGAAGGAGGAGGGAGGGAGGGAGGGAGGGTGGAAGGAAGGAAGGAAGGAAGGAGGAGGGAGGGAGGGAGGGAGGGAAGGGTGGAAGGAAGGAAGGAGGAGGGAGGGAGGGAGGGAGGGAGGGTGGAAGGAAGGAAGGAGGAGGGAGGGAGGAAGGAAGGAAGGAAGGAAGGAAGGAAGGAAGGAAGGAAGGAAGGAAGGAAGGAAGGAAGGAAGGAAGGAAGGAGGAGGGAGGGAGGAAGGAAGGAAGGAAGGAAGGAAGGAAGGAAGGAAGGAAAGGAGGGAGGGAGAGCAAGAGACAGGGAAGAAGGGAGGGAGGGAGGGAGAGAATGAGAGCTAGAGAGAGGAAGAGAGAGTGAGAGTTAGAACTAGAGAGGGTAAGAACTAGAGAAAAAAAGAGATGGTAGATGGGTAGATAGATAGAGAGAGGGAGAGATGGTAGATAGATAGATAGAATGAGAGAGGAAGAGATGGTAGGTAGAGATGGTAGGTAGAGATGGTAGGTAGAGAGGGAGAGAGAGAGACTCCATATTATCTGTCTAGGTAGTCCTTTTTTTTTTTTTTTTTTTGCCACTTAAGTTCTACACTCATTTATCGATGGAAATAAATACAAACCCCCTTTCTAAATGCCAAGAGGTTTGTGCACTTGTGGTGAGTCTTTCCGTCATCCTGGCCTTCAGCTGAAGTGCTCACAATTGCAAGTTCATGAGATTGTTCTAAGTTGTTTGCCATGTTTCCACATTCCTATGGTCTTTATTCACAAAAAGTGATTCTTGGGGCACAACTCCCCTGTATTGTCAGATGTACCTTTATGAATGTAGTCTAAACCACAAATTGTCAGCCATCTGTTGATAGCTGGTCTGAACCAGACCTTGGCTGTCAATAGTATTTATAGCTATCCATGAAGAGTTCATAGACACATGTAATACGATGAAAATGTGTAAGATGTTACCGTTTAACTTGAAGCTACTCAGAGATTGGGGTTGGGAGAAGGAGAAAAGGTGGTGATAATCAATAAAAGTGATACCAAAATTGCCAAAATGGAACTGTAGATATCCATGGAAATAGTGTTCTTCTAGGAGCTGGTACTCTTCCAACCATGGCTCATATATGGTACATTGCATGCTTGTTTAGCAATGGAAAGCACTAAAGAGAGTGAACCTTATCCTAAAGTTATGACTATAAAGTTTCTGGAACAGGGAGTAGATGAGTTGTTCATAAGTTTTTACACTTTTATTTATACAGTAAGTCTCCAACTTATGGACATAATGGGGACCGAGAGGCCGTTTGGAAGTAAATTTGACTGTATGTCAAAAGTCGGGTCTCCATTGCCTTTTTTCCCATTGTTTTAAAGTTTTGTTTACGTTAGGAATACCTGTACATAAATCCTAATAAATATGACATACCTTATACAGTACCTGTAATATGTAATGCTTTTAATATTATTTGATGGTGGTTCATACAACTTTAATGTAGAATCATAATTTATTCAAAAAGAAAATATATTGTAGTGGTGACTGGCTGGCAAACTATGATAAGATCCATAAAGTTATAGCCTGACGTTTCTTGGCACTTCCACTGGCTTCACCGTTTGTCTCTCTCTTCACACCCGACATTTTTGATGGATTGATGCACAGGTAAAGAGAATTATGGCACAAAAAATGTTGGTACACAAGGACACAGTGAAGAGATGCTTTCGTGTTTATAGCGGGAGGGCAGGCGAGTGATGCCACAGCTGAGTGAGCGTGGCAGACTCGTGAACTATATTCGCGCCCGGGTAATTTGAAGTTTGCTAGCATCTTTCAATTTTTTTTTACTTGAGTATTTAACCCATTCCTGCCGGGTGGCATGTACACCATGGCATGTACATACATGCCATGGTGTCCATGGACCATATGCCGGGGGCATGTACGGACATGTCATGAGTTTCTTTTGTTACTATTATGGTAAAATATTATTTTTTTCCTCTGAAAATGTCATTATGTAGTTTTTAACACTTTTTCTCGTTTTTCCTATACTATGCATTTCATAAAGGCTTCTCGGGCTTTCGAGGTTATCGTCTAAAAAATTGTGTGTGTAAGCGGGCCGCGACTCGCGAAATATGCGAGTCATCGCTTGTATATACATATACTTATATAAATGCATATATATATATATATATATATATATATATATATATATATGCATACGTAGATAAACATAGATATAGACATATATATACTCATATATACAGATATATGTGTGTGTGTGTGTGTGTGTGTGTGTGTGTGTGTGTGTGTGTGTGTGTGTGTGTGTGTGTGTGTGTGTGTGTGTGTGTGTGTGTGTGTGTGTGTGTGTGTGTGTGTGTGTGTGTGTGTGTGTGTGTGTGTGTGTGTGTGTGTGTGTGTGTGTGTGTGTGTGTGTGTGTGTGTGTGTGTGTGTGTGTGTGTGTGTGTGTGTGTGTGTGTGTGTGTGTGTGTGTGTGTGTGTGTGTGTGTGTGTGTGTGTGTGTGTGTGTGTGTGTGTGTGTGTGTGTGTGTGTGTGTGTGTGTGTGTGTGTGTGTGTGTGTGTGTGTGTGTGTGTGTGTGTGTGTGTGTGTGTGTGTGTGTGTGTGTGTGTGTGTGTGTGTGTGTGTGTGTGTGTGTGTGTGTGTGTGTGTGTGTGTGTGTGTGTGTGTGTGTGTGTGTGTGTGTGTGTGTGTGTGTGTGTGTGTGTGTGTGTGTGTGTGTGTGTGTGTGTGTGTGTGTGTGTGTGTGTGTGTGTGTGTGTGTGCGTGCGTGCGTGCGTGTGTTGAGTGCGTGTGCGTGAACGTATACATACGTGTCTGATCGGTAAGTCGAGTCGATGAGCGATTGAGTGGAAGAGTGTGCATACGTGCGTGTTTGTGTGTCTGTTTGTGTGCATCTGTATGCATTTGTGCGTGTGTTTGTGTACGTGAGCATACGTATGTGATTACATGTACATACGTGTACTTGTGAGTATTGCGGGAGTGGGTGGAGGTTGAGAGTGTGACATAGATGTGCAAATTGGTCAAGTCAAACGAAGGATCGGGGAAGAAGAAGAGACGAACGGACGAACGTTCGGAAAAAAAAAAAAAAAAAAAAAAAATCACGTATTTATAAAACCACTGAACCTATAATTATATCTATATGGAAGTGATAATATAAACCTATTGGAACAAAAGTTTATCTTATAAAATAACTTGAAAGAAATGCATAAGAAAATACAACTAAACCTACGGTTTCAACTCCATGATACCACACACTGCTTATTTTATACAGACTATAGAGCGAATAATGATCAACCATGGAGTCTATATAACAACAAAAATATCCTACAGTCTTGATTTATCAGAAAATATGGCAAATAGAGACCTTAGATAATAATAGTAATGAAAGTACAACATAGGTTCTTAGTATTACAAAGAAAAGGCAAGGGATGCTGGTATTGGGCGTGAGCGGTCGCGCATGCTAGGGTGACAATATGAGCCCCTGGCAGCGGGGCCCGGGTCACTATGAATACACCCCGGGAGAGCGACCTTCCGCGTCGGGATGCTACCCGTCGGCAATGGGTTAAAAAAAAAAGTTTTTATGTATGGAATGTGCGTAAGTAGAATGTTCTTAAGTAGGGGACTATCTGTATGTTTGTTTATAGATATTATAGCAACTTCTGTGAGCCATTATAGATTTGTGCGAGGTTGGAAGGCTGGCTCCAAAAGAGTAATCAATCCACAAAACAGTGACTTGTTAAATTTTTTTATTTTTTTATTTATTTATTTATTTTTTTTGCATATCTTTGAGAAACCTTCACAGGTGTTTGGAATTCCTCTACAGATTTTGGGGACTTCTCTCCTAATCCAAGATGTGTAGCCCTCAAGCATTTGATAAATGATAGCCATGTAATATCTATATGTGCCTTTTTAGTAAAGATTTTAACTTCTTCTTTTATGACTTGCAGCCAAGATGTCCACAAAGCAGAACACATCTACCCATACGACTGTGAACGAAAAGAGGAATTTATCAAGAAGGGACAATGTAAGTACATTTATTATGACTCTTTTTTTAATATAGGAAAAGTATGGTTTCATGCAGTTGACCCGGGCAATGAGTGGTTAATCGTTGGGAGGGTCATTGTTCAGCATTCTTTTGTATGTTTTATTACCTTAGCTATCATTTCATCTTCAGTCCGCTGGCTTGTAGCATTATTGTCATTTTATATACCCCATATTTTGTATTTCATGTTCATATTTCTCCCTCTCGTGAAAAAGAGAAAGAGAGGGAAAAAAAAAAAAAGGTAAACATTCTCAGACTACAATATTTATGAATAAAATGAGACCATTCCCATCTTCATCATTAACAGATTGCATTCTTATCAATAATAAGAAAAGATGGAGGAAAAAAATGTACATTTGAAAGTTCTGTGTTGCATTTCTTTTCTTATCAATGATTAGAAAAAAAAAAAAAGTACGTTTGAAAGTTAATTTCTGATGTTTTTGTTTGAGACTATATCTATCATCCTCATCATTGGAGAGCTAACACCATCGGGGGTGCATAGCTGAATCCACCTTTCTTTTCCATTTATGAGGATTCTCATGACGAGTCACCAGACAGGGGCCTGGCCCTTCTCTAGCTCTTCACAACAGGTTTGATTGATCTGTCCAAGCCGTCCAACAGGCCTCCTCCACCCAGAGTTGTCTCGAACAGACAACCTGGTGGGTATGATCATCGTGTGAGAAAAGAGCTGTCAGTATAACCTGAGTTGGTGATTACGGATTGTGCAAGTAACAGGTCCTGTACCAGTCTTACAGTGCAACCGTTGGTGGACACATGGTCCTGCCAACTGTACCCCATGATCTGGTGCAAGGACCTATTACAAAATCAAGATGAGATTCCAAAGCATAAGATAGTGTCCAGGTTTCACTACCCTATAGTAAAACTGGCAGTATCAGGGCCTTGAAGACACATAGTTTGGTCTGTTTGCACAGCTACCAGCATCTCCAAATACTCTTGTCAAGAGATTTCATGTCCCTTGCCACAAGGCCAATCTGTCTACTGAGCTCCTGATCTGACAGCCTGGATTCATGAACTGTGCTACCTAGTTAAATAAAGCTCTCTGTGACCACCATGTTCTCACCGCAAGCACATACTGACTGAACAGGCTCTCCTAGCAGGCCCTCAAAGTCCTGGATATTGGTCTTGGTCCAGCCCCAGGGGCTTTGCTTCATTGCTAAATGCATCATGAGGCACCACTAGGGTTTCCAGAGATTCAGATAGATAGCAGCAACATCAGCAAAGTCAAGGGCTGTAACCTTGATATTGCCCAGAGTTGCTCCACACTGACTTTGGACAGTAGCTCTACCCAGTATCTAGTCCATGCAAGTGTTGAAAAGATTTGGTGCAAGAACCCAGCCTTGCCTCACTCCTGAACTAACTGAGAAGAAACTTGACAGGCCCCACCAGCACTTTTAGTACCAGTATACAGGTTTGCTATTAACTGAATAATCCTTGCTGGAATTCCTCTAAGTCTCAGGATCTCCCAGAGTGATTCGCAATGCACAGTATCAAACCCCTTCTTTGATACGGTACGTTTTACAATGCCTTGAAGCACCAGGATATGGTTAATTGTGAACTCACCAGGAGTGAATCCAGATCGTGCTGGCCCAATGGTACCTCAGCAGGTGGTCTCTTACGTTTCAGAAGGATGTGAACAAGAACCTTGCATGGTATAGTGAGTAGTGTAATGCCTTAGTGATTGCTGCTCTTAGGCTCCACTGAGCATATCACACTAGGTGTCCCACAGAAGAACAGTGTCTGTCAGGCCCCCGATTGCTGCGAAACAACAAGAGATCGCTTTAGCAAACCTCTGGGCACACTTCCCCTCCCTCAATCTGTCCACATGAAACCCCCTAAAGTGTTCATTGGAGTGACAAGGGATTCTGAAGTGGACCTGTAGAGTAGCCACAACTAATTTATGATCAATTCCACTGAACTCAGTGCTCTGATACATGCAGTTCTGGAGGATCCTCCAGCGGGTGCTAACGAGGATGTGGTTGATCTCCTTGGCTACATTACCTATATTGCTGTACCAAGTCCAGCAATGCAGGTCAGAATGCTGATACCAGGAGCCAGAAATCCTCAGTTTCTGGGACCTAGCAAAGTCCTGGAAAAGAGGCTCTTCTCACAGCCAGCATCAGCTCCTGAGCCAGGAGGACTGACATACATCTCATAGCCAGCTTGGTCGCAGCCACATATTGCATTGAACTCCCACAGAACAATATGCATCAAGTTCATAAACATCAGTAGGAGCGTACACAGCTAAATGTAAGCTTCTATTGCCGATGGTTGAAGCCTGCTGGATATGGCTATGGCTATTCCCTGGAGATGGTGACCATTGCTGCAGTCCAACCAGTAATAAGTGTAGTCACCTACACTGTGCTGCTGTCAGGTCTTTTCAGAGCAGCCATCTCAACTCTCAGCTCTCAATTGTTTCAGTGGTAACCAATCGTTCGGTCACAAAGAGCACACGTTCCTCAGGCAGTCATTCTGGGTGGACGCCACCTCTGCCAACCCCACTGATGCTGCCCCCAATTAGTGAGGGTTAGCTGGCTGCAGGCCCCATAATCCACCTGTGGGGTCCCATGGGCTTTGCCCCACAACCTTCATGCCAGGCAGACAGGATGATGGGTGACCCCCACCCCTGATGGTGAAGTCTTGTCATAAGTGCACAAAATGCTTGGAGTAGGAACAACTCAGAAAATATGTAGTCTAAGCAATGAAAACTGTCTAGCATCATTTTTTATACAACAAAACAAAACCCCTAGACCAAGTCCCAGTGGTCACCAGCCCAGTGGGACCCACAGCCTACCTTGCTGAGTAAGGGGGGTCTTTGCCCTCCCCCTAACACCAACAACTATACGATCTACTGCCAGTTCGGTTATCTTGAGGAGACAGACTGGCAAGGCCTGCCTCATCCTACATTTAGTGTATATTCAATACAACTGTTTGATGATATGGGTAAAATATTCATATTATATTTCTTCTAGTAAACTCTGTTAGTGGAGCCACATATAGTTTTCTTCATGTAATGATAATATATATTATTCTTTGGATACAAAAAAGAAGCTGTGGTAGAAGGTGGCTTTCAGCTTCAGCCACATGTCCAACCCTTGTTAGAAAGGCTGAATACTTATTGCTATTTTTTTTTTTTATTAAACTAAGTTCTCTTGCCTTTTTCATCATGCTGAATAGGTAATTATTTTGGTACTGTCTGTATATATTTCATCTAGCCAAACTGCTTTGTAAATGATAGAATTATGATTTTATATTTTTCATTTACGTATTTGTAATAAGGTGTCTGTTTTCATTCATACAGGATGGGTAACTGTGATGAATTTTCTACAGTTCCCATGTGTATTTGATATATTACAGTGAAATATACATTTTCTGGTGTGTGAGGGTTATAGTAAATGGTTAGGTTGCCATCTACTATGTTTAGTCTGGTGTCTTATCTCTTTATGGAGTGACTGTGTGGGTGTGAGTGCCCACGGGTATGGCTGGGTATTGGAGACTGTAGTTGGAGTTCTACGGGGGAGCCGGCTGGCTCCCCAGTCGGTTAAGGACTTGGCAGTCCTTGAGTGTCGTTGCTGTAGTCGGTGAGTCTGGAGGATCTGGGGTTGCTGATCTCGCTGAGAGCTCTGCGGCTTAAGTACACTAGCGCTGTGTAAGCCTGCAGGTAACGAGGGGAGCCCGCTGGCCAATGAGCGCAGCCAGTGGCGGCGGACCTAGCATGACCCAACCTGGGAAAGTATGCTGAGCTTCAGGTTGCGGGGTCATGCTGCTACAGGGTAAATAGCGACTACCCCTGGTAAGGAGCGGTCACAAGGGTCAAATGGAGTTATTGGTCTTATCATGATATGTGTAAGGAAACAAACATTAGTATCTGAGAATGTGATTTTTATTCATTTAGGTTAACTAGTTGGATCTTGGAGATGTCACCTTGTCGTGAAAAAATTTGTCTGAGGTTGGCTCTTGTGTACATTTCATCATGGAAACGAATTTGGCTAAGGGGCTGATAACAGAAATGCCTTGTCATGGGAAATTTTTGTTCCGAGTGGCAGCTGATGGTGAAGTCCTGTCATAAGTGCACAAAACGCTTGGAGTAGGAACAACTTAGATAATATGTAGTCTAAGCAATGAAAACAGTCTAGCATCATTTTTTATACAACAAAACAAATAACAAATATAGACCTCAGTTGTACTAATTTCAGCTCCTCATATATTATTATTTAGATAATTCAACATGCTGAGGATGGTCAATAAAATTATAAAAGAAATATCCATAACAGTGAGACGATTACAGCAAAAGTGTTATTCCCAGAAAAGTCAGTGGCATAATTTTTGTGTGATATGTGCTAAGGCAAACATTTCCCCCCAGCCAGTGTCCTTGTTAAACAGGTCTATCTTATATGTATGTGCTTGTTAGAGACTTGACCTGTATGGCAGTATAAAATTTGAGAATTAAGTCGTATTTCCATTGATTTGAAATAATTAAAGTATCTTAAAAGATACATTGCATGTAGGTATAGAAACCTAGATATGTTTCTTGAAAATGCATAAATTTATAAATAACATTGCCTGTGTAACGGGAATTGGTGACTGGCAGTGAGCGGATTAGATGATGTTTATGAGTGGAATGCTTGATATATATGATGCATTGGCCTACTGGCCTGATTGTAATGCATCGCCTTTTAAATGTTATATGTACCTAATTAGGAAGATGTGACTTGGAGGTTGAGGCTAATGGTATGTCTCTTTCTTGCAAATTATTTTTCCCATTAATATAGGAAATAGAATTTCTTCTGATGTCAGGCATTAAGCTTTGAAATTGGATTTTTTGTTGCAGACATTAACAAGAACCAAAGCCATGGCGACGTGGATCTCCTTGCGAAGTTTGAAGCTGATGTTGTAACTGCAGAGAAACTTACAGGTGGAGATATGAACATTCTCCAGACCATGGGAGAAGTTGCTGGTAAGCGCAGAATAGACTATAGCGATCTGGGTTTTGGGCCACCAAAGCCGAAGAAGAAGAAAGAAGACATGATCAAGAGGGGATCAGATATTGGCCAGGCTGTTGTATATAAAAAGGTTGGGATAAGAAGTGCAGGTAATAAGCTTCAGAGAGTTGTCATAGAACACAAGGTCCGGATTCTGGAACAACCACGAAAGGAAAACATGACCCAAGACATGCGGGAAGCATCAAACTGGTACAAATGTTACAGCTGTGGGTATACGTGTTCCAGGCTTAATGTAATAATTTGGCACAACAAAGCACACATTAAAAAAGTATGTAATTATGACACAGGTATAAAAGTCCCAGGAAGAAGGAAGCGCAAACAAGGAACCCCGAGGACAAGTAAGGAAATGCGAAAGAAAGCCAAAGATGCAAAAGGCAAAGAAAACTTGGAACACGCCCACACTAATGGGGAAGTATCTAGTCCAAAGAAAGATTCCCAAGACACTCAACAACTTCTCATGGACTGGGATGATGAGGAAGATGATGGAGAAGGGGACAGGATAAAGGCACCACAAGATAAACGTCGCAATGATTCTGATGATGGTTACAGTGACAACGACGATTATCCTCCACCGCAACCCAAGTACGAGAGACGACCGATGCCCAAGGCGGCAGATATTAATTCTGCTTTTGATGCTTTATTGGCTGCGACACCCATGACTCCATCTTCGAATCAGACAACAAATTATGTTAACAATGATAGTGATAGCGACTATAGCGACTGGGAGAAATACTATGCCAGAGATTCTGGGTCTGAATCAGAAGAGGAGGAGGTGGCTCAAGAAAGTGATATTAAAAGTTTATGTGAGGAGAAAGAAGGTATAACCGGCAGAAGTGCCGATGTTACACCTAAGGAGGAGAATAATGATGTAAGTGACTGTAAAACGGAAGAGGTAGAAGAAACTGGAGAGGAGTACAAGCCAAATGTTTCTGCTGCTGTAACTGAGGAGGAGGAAACAAAGCGGGTAGATGTAGTGGATCATGGAAACAGTCCGTTGGCTCTGACTCCAGAGCCAGAAGAGCCAGTGGAAACGGAAGAACCAGAAGAACCAAAGCCAGACATGGCAGAGGGAAGACTAACTCCACCTGTTCATTATTTTACTCCAAATAGTGCTAAAGATGAACAAAGGGAAGTTGATGAACCAAATGTGATTCAGGAGGATTGCTCAGATAACATTGAAACAGGAGTTACCTCTGAATCATTAGAGGAGAGTAGAGAAGCAGTAGATTCAGTTGAAGAGTCTAGAATGGAAGTTGATCAACCTTATGAAATGAGTGAGGATCAGAATGATAGTGAAAATGACTGTAAGCCAGCAGAAGTTGAGGATTATTATCATGATGCTGATGCATCTGTAGAAGATTCCAGCCAGATAGCAGATAGAAGTAATGAAAAAGTGACTCAAAAGGTAGAGCCCAAGATAGTACAAAGAAAAGAGGAGAAAGAAAACTTGGAGGAAGAAGGAAGTGATGTAGAAGATAACACATCAAGCATTCATAGCTCTCAGACTAGGTTAGAATCTGGCTCAGAAAGCACTGCTGAGCCAATGAGAGTAAGTGATGTAACTACGTCATCAGGCTCAGGCACAACTTACATGTTGGTTGCTGTAGATGCTCATGGAAACACAGTGCCAACTGTTCCTACCCCAGCACTCAGTGAAGGTGGTAGCAACCTAGTCGCTGTAGAAGCTACTATGGAGGATGGCACTACGAGAACCCTCTATATAGATCCCTCACAATTAGGTCCTAATGTTGATTTGAACAATCTCATGCTTCATATAGACACCAGTGGACAAGAACATGTTATCATTCCTTCTTCATCATCATCGGATTCTGAAACGCCAAGTCTTGACCATAGCATGTCAGAGGGTCAGGACAGAAATTATGCTGACACACAGCCAGAATACCCATCCGAACCACAGAAATACGAGCAAAAAAATGATGGGGCTGTTGAACTTGAACACTATGAGTTGCCCCAAGAAAAGGGTGAGACTTCATGAGCAAAACCTTAAGCTTTTACATTAGATTGTTAAAGGATGAAAAAAAAAAAAATATTTGTGCCTTTTTTTTTTTTTTTTAAGTATTGGGAGGAATCCTTCCATTTATTCTTTTTTTATCCTTTTTTTTTTCTCTCATACAGTTTCTGTCACGAGTCATTCTTTTCAGCACCAACACAAATCCAGTGGTTTTGTGCATATTTATATAGATGTTCTCTAGAATTTAGATTGTTTCTGTAAAATAGTTTCAAATTTTAGCTCAAACTTGTATTTTTTCAGTGCTTAAATTACACTGGTACTGTAATTATCTGCTCCCTTAATTACACTACTTCATGGCCCTATTCCTATGCCATTCTTTTTTCTTAAGCTTGATAGGTTCCTAAGTCAGTTACATGAAGCAGCATGATAGGTTTCTAACCACTGCATCTAACTTGCGGCTATATTCATCATGAAGTGGATAATTGGATTCTGTTCCTTAAGCTCTTGCATCATTTTTATGTTCAAATTTGCTTCAGTGATCCATGTTGGGTTTCTTAAAAGAAAGCATCACTGCCAGTAATGTAGTACATTTAGCACATGGTTCAAAACTTATTATAGCAATTATATAGTAAGGGGCTGAGAAATATTGAATCAACATACTGTTCAGTCTTCATGTGGTGGATTATTGGATTTTTTAAGAGTTTTATTCAATGGAACCATTGTGGTTGGTCTAGTTCTCAGTAGTAGTGTGTATACACATTTCCAAAGGAAAACAAAGGACTTTATGATTCCTCACAGGTGGATGACAGAGAATGAATGAATAAGAATTTTAATTTTTATAATTTTGACTTGAAATATGTGCAGACATTGGCTAAGTAACACTTAGGTGGCTAGCAATTGGTAATTGAAGACAAGCATTAATATTGTTCAGCATTGTTACAGCAAAAGGATCTGGAGTTATAAAGAGTTGAATGTAGTTGAATTGTTAAGTGGTTTGAGGGTTAATACTTTTTTTACGTAATTTTTGGACAAATGCATTATATCAGTTAAAAGAATGCTTTGTAGATAAAGCAATGTCAACCTTCTGTAAGTGAATCATTGAGTTGATGATAGAGTACAAAAATGGTATAGTTGATTACAAATATTAAGATTTTATAAATTGTCAACTTTTGGTCTCATTGTAGGTTGGCCATTTTACCCAAAAGCATCTGGTATGCAAATACCATGGATATATACCGCTCCATTTGCATTACCTGAGCCTGTAATTAAAAGCTAAATATATCCTTTTTTAAGTTTTAGTTCATTATTTTAGCAGATTGGGGCATGGATAAAGGGTTAAGGATTTTGCAGGTCAAGCTAAAGCTTAAAAGGATTCTCTTCCTTCTCCTTATGAGGCGTGTCTTTCATTCTCTGTCTTCACTTGCAAATGATTTGTCAGATTTGATCTGATTGCATTTTGGTCTTGTTCTTGTTTGTGTGTTCATTTCATTCATGTTTTGTAATTGTTATTTTATTATTATTATTATTATTATTATTATTATTATTTTTATTATTATCATTATCATTATCATTATTATTATTATTATTGTTATTATTATTATTGTTGTTATTATTATTATTATTATTATTATTATTATTATTAATATTATTATTGTTATTATTATTATTATTATTATTATTATTATTACATACTGAATATGACATTTTAAAAAGTTTAATGCACATGTATAGGATTGATATATAGATGTGTCCAGTGTGATATATATTACTGTTATAAATACAATGCTTGTGTAATTTAAAAATAAGCTATTGAATAATTTTGGGAATATTCCAGAATTGTGATCAGTATAGATGGAAAGTAGGTCATTTTATATAATTATCTAAACCATGAAAAATATAATTATAGAAATGAACATTATTGGAAGACTGCAAATGCTACTGTGATAAAAAAAAGAAAAAAAGAAAACAGTCACCCACACTATGTCACGGGTGCATGTATTTTTTATTTAACTTACTTAAAGAAGAAAATTGTAATTACCAACTTATTTTGTTACTAAAAAAATATTTCAAAAGTAACCTAAAACAACAGAAAATGTTAGCCAACTAATTTTTAATTTATTTTTCAAGTTTCGAGTAAAAGTCTCCATTATGTTATCATTATATTTTATATGCTTTTAAGAATAATTTGTATGTTGTGTAAATTATAAATATTAAAGCCTTTCAGAGAGAAAATTATTTGTACAAAAAACTGTAAATTTGTTAAGCAGCACAGAATTTGTTATTTGTTTATTTATTTAATTTTTGGTTAATTTAAAAACTGATGAAAATTTAGGTACTATGATGGAATGATTTTTTTTTTGCTAATACTGGTAAACAGGTATATTAAATCAAAGTGCAAAGTTACTTGGTTGGTGGTTTACCAGTTACTGGTAAAGCAGAGCAGATTACCATTTAGTCCAGTGATCCTTGCTTGGCAGTTTTAGTAGAAAATCAGAAAACGAAATTGTACATACAGTTTATACCCATATATATATATCAATGTATTTACACTTCTATATCTCATGGTTTAACAAATAAATGTCATTTAGTTATTTGAATGGTATTGTAGATTTTAAGAATTGTGGACACATCTCTGTAAGACCCAACATGGACAGCATTTGCAGTTAATGTATGGAGTATGTCTTGTCTTTTTTTCTTTCTCATACATCTATGTATCATGCATTTGCTCTTCTTGATTTGATCAACTCATTTCATGCTACAATGTATCCCAACACTAGTTTTCTTCTTAACTGCTATTCAGAGATCATAATATGCTTTCGTACACTTTCAGAATCTCTTTTGCTTGGTCTTTTTTGACCATGAGTCTTTGGCCCCAAAACACACCACACTCTTATTGTCTGACTTCCATGTGCATTTTATCAACCCAGTCTTAATGAACAGGTTACTGATAGAGTATTACAGTGCACTCTTCCCCATTGTGGCCATTCATCACATTTAAGGGTTTATGTTTTGTGGCAGTGAATTGCTTGTGTGACTTATGTACCATCCTCACCCTGTCCAAAAGTTTATATTTAGATTATACATATTTTTCTAGGCTTTGGTGTATTATGTAATATTACCTGAGTGAATATTATCAATGTGATTTAGAAGAGAGTCTTTGTTTGTACAGTGTTCAGTAGCTGTGTTGATAGTATGCCAGTCAGTTTTGTAAAGGTATGTCAGAAGATGTGAAGATTATGTGGAATCTGCTTTGAAAAGGTGAATTTTTGTCTCACTGTATTGATAATTTCAGAGAAATGTAGGGCATCTGAAGAGAGTTGTCCCAAGAATCCCAGCATTGGTGTGGAATTGTCATTAATGTCTGAGAAGCTGGTGGCCCCCTCAGGCTCCAGGAATCCATCATGTGTTACCAATGAGGATTATCTCTCAAGGTAATGCATTGACTGCTTCATTTTAATATGCAGGTGGTCCTCTCATATCCCGAGGGGATTAATCAGCATGTTATGTGATAATAACTGTTCTTGGGGCAGCCATATATATTTTTGTATTTGTGTTTCATAATGAATGAGGCTAGGCAGGAGAGGAAAAATGATGAACTATATAATTTCACATGTAAATTTTTGTTGCAAATTTTATTAAACTTTTTTTTTTATGCAAATTGCTTTCACAATTTTTGCTCCAGTGTCAGCACAACAAATGAGAAGTTTAGGCGTTTCTCGTTTATGTTAGTGCATTTTTTTTTCTTTTTTCTTTAAGTATCATCCCATGCCAGTTATGGATCTTGTGAGTATTGGTCTTTAGTAAAGTGCCTGTTCTTTGCAAAGTTATCTTGGCCTTGGGAGAAGTATTTGGATATTTGTATTTATGTATTTTGTTGTTGATTTTAGTCATTATGATAATGTCAATATTATTGTGACGGATATATCATCATCATCATCATCACCATTATTATTATTGATTATAATAATAATAATTTATTATTATTATTATTATTATTATTATTATTACTATTGTTAGTTTTACTGTTTTATTATTATTATTATTATTATTATTAATAGTGCTACTTTTATAGTTTTATTATTATTATTATTATTATCATCATTATCATTATCATTAACATTATCATTATCATTATCATCATCATTTAATTGTGATTATTATTTATTACTATTATCATTATTATTATTATTATTATAGTGGTTATTATTTTTATTGATATTGATGATACTGATTTTGTTATTATTATTATTATTATTATTATTATTATTGTTATTATTATTATTATTATTATTATTATTATTATTATTATTATTATCACCAACATCGTCATTGCTATTGCTATAAATGTTATTACTTTTTTATTGTTATATCATTATTGATATTACTATTCCCATTGGATTGGCTATTGCTATTAGTTTTATTATGATTATGATTATTATTATTATTCATTGTAATTATATAATATTGTTGATACAATTGATTTTAGTTTTATTATTTTCAGAAATATATTAGCATTACTCCTCCTCCCTCTCCTCCTCCCACTCCCCTTCCTCCTCCTCCTCTTCTTCCTCCTCCTCCTCCCCCCTCCTCTCTCTTCTTCCCCCTCCTCCCCTCCGCTTCCTCCTCCTCTTCCTCCCCCCTCCTCTCCTCCTTTCCTCCCTTATTCCCCCCCTCCCCCTCCTGTCTCCCTCTTTCCTCCCTCTCCTTCCCCCCTCCCCTTCCTCCTCCTCCACCTCCACCACCTCCACCTCCACCACCTCCACCTCCACCTCTTTCTATTGCTACTCCTCCAATATATGGATCATTGCAGGTTATGATTTTTTATAGAATTTTTCTTTAATAATTTTACTTATATATATTTATATATATATTTTTTTTATTTATTTATTTATTTTTTTTTATGTTGATGATGATTATGGTCATTACTTACATTTGTAATACTAATTCTTAAGTTTGCATAATGTATTCTTTATGCTTTTCTATTATCTAAAGTTCATGTTACATTTATGATCATATACACCTGCACTCACAGTTACACACACACACACACACACACACTCACACACTGTATATAATGTTATTTTATCTCATCTTCATCCTTTGTTTATGTCTAAATGTTTCTGAAAACAAGCAATCTGATAGACATTCTTATACTCCAGTGTGCATGACTTGTTGTGAAAAGGCTAATTTCAGCCATATATCCAAGGAATACAAAGGTGACAATGGAAAGAATCTGATATTTAGTTATGCTGATCATGCCTTATATTAGCATATGACATTATTCTTTAGTCTCCAGGGTGCCAGTCTCATGTGTAAAGTTTTTATGTCTGGGGGTTGTAAATGATTCATGGCAAATAAATACACAATTCTTTATTTCGACTTCTTTTATCCTGATAATTTAAGAGAATTTTTTTTGCGAAGTCCGTAGAATTTTTAACCCCTTCGTGCCTGGTGACGCCGATCGGCGTGTAAACAAAGAGCTCGAAAGCTGGCGTGCAGCCAAACGAGCCGGCGGCGAGCCAGTGATTCGGGCTGATGTCCCCTACTCACGCGCTCAAAGTCGGCGTGCCGCCTTTGTTTGTTTAAGTGTAGAGTTTTTTTTTTTTTTTTCTTTTGTACACCCGGCGCCATTGGGTTAAGAGCTCCAGGAGATGTAGTGAACTTAGAGAGAATTATTTTGATTTTGATTCGATTCAAATTTAAGAAGAACAGTTAGAGGATCTGGAGAAAACAACCTCAAAGTCTTGATAAAACTGCAGTGGTCGTTGAAAAAAAGAAAAAGAAAAAAAAATGAAAATAGGGCAAACGGTGCATTACCTTTTAGAAAGGAAATAATACTGTTATTACCATTTGTATTTAAGAGTACAAAAGAAAAATTATTTCAAAAAAAATATTTACATAAGTAGCAGAACTTTTACATCAGTAGCAAGTTAGAAGCAAATAAGGCATATGTTGTTTTAATATTCTATTGTACTTTGCCCAGTCACTTTTATGTATGCAGAAGTGTACTCCTGATAACACATTAATTCAGTTTAAAAGCTACATGAGCTTATTCAGTTCAGTGATCTGAATTGTTGAGGTAACCTTTTAATTTTGGAGTAAAATTCTTATTCACATAAAATTCCTGTTCACTTAAACGCACACCAGTGCTGCCTATAGTAATGCAAACAAGTGTATACATAGGATAGTTTATGTGCTTTGAACTGCCTATTATACCATAAGTTAACAACAAATTATTTATATATAAGATAGCAGTATGATAGCATTACAGTGTTGTTTGTAAAGATAATGTTAAAGTAAAAGTTCTCTTAGTATACCAGAATAACACACTGTTAAGGCCCTATCACACTAGCACTTTTTCCCTCAATTTTTGCATTTCTGTATGAACTGTCCGTATGCAAATGGAATGACCCTACACTACCAAGGTAACAAACATGGCAGCTTCCAAGTAAGGTCCCAGGAATCACGAGTATTCTCAAAACATATGGTATTTTAAAGAAATATAATTATGTATATTGTACAAACAAATATTCTAGAATATTAACTGAAGTGTACGTTGATTTACTCTAATTTGTTGATATATAAATCTTCTAGTCATATAGATCCTCAGTAGCACTAGATCAAGACAGAAATTAGTCAATTGGAAATGGTCACTACCGTCTTCGTCTGGGAGGCATGCGATACATACAGAATACCGCAGATGCACGTAGAAACAAAAACTGACAAAAGGTACAAGTGTGATAGGGTTTTAAGCTATTAAAACTTTTTTTTTTTTTATGATTAGCATCAGCTTTTGATAGTGTAAGCCAAAATTCACTTTAAAAAAAGACTGTGCACGAGACAAATAATTTTTATACAACATCAAACAGAAAGATTAACAAAAATGCAAGGAGCTTTAACACATGCTTCATTCTTCACTAAAGTAAGGGTTATTTCTTAGACCTAGAATAGTGAAAGAGTGTTCTATTACATAAATTAAATTCATATGATAGCACCACACTAACTTTTGTAAAACTATTGTGAATGTGTTTTCATATCACTCTTGTTGAACAATGCATTGACAGCTGTGTGTGTATAATTTTGAATTGATTGATAACATCTTAAATTAAGGTAAACCAAAGACAATATATATTATTAATGGGGGCAGTGGCAATAGAGGCAGCAGTAGTGACCAAGAAATAAATAGAAGAATTCTGTATTATGCTTTTTTTCTCTACAAATCAAGACATAAATTTTTTGCTACCTTTCCAGAACTCCACTTATTGGTATAATCAGCAGGAAAAGTTTCATTTGATAATCCCTTGCTTCATGCATATATTAGTTTGATCCATTAGTATAGGGGTTGTGGGATAGCTTGTTTTGAAAAGTCTTGTGGGAACCGTGGATTTTGATAATGGTTTAATGCTGGTTATGTATTAGTGCTATGATTATGATCTAAACCAGAAGCACTGCATTGTCATGTAGGTTCAATGCACTAGTATGCCACATAGTACTAGATTTTCCCTCTTAAAATATGTCACTACTGCATCATCCACTACGATATAGCAGACAAATTTGAAAACAAGGAAACAGTCAAGTTTGTATGTTTTGATGTGAATAATAGAAATAGCCATCTGGAGTCAGATAAATGTCCATCTGGAACAAGATGATGGGATGCATAGACTCAAGCCTTCCATAGATCATACTTTCAGAGAAGGTATATCAACAGCAGGGCAAATCCTCACTCTTAACCCAATGGCGCCGGGTGTACAAAACAAAAAAAAAACTCTACGCTTAAGCAAACAAAGGCGGCGCGCCGACTTTGAGCGCGTGAGTAGGGGACATCAGCCCGAATCACTGGCTCGCCGTGCTTTGGGGCGCTGCCGGCTCGTTTGGCTGCATGCCAGCTTTCGAGCGCTTTGTTTACACGCCGATCGGCGTCACCCGGCACCAAGGGGTTAAGAATGCTGAAATCCAGAAACCTACATGCTATGCTAACATTTGAGGGAGTTCATCTTTCTTTAAAGGATAGCAGCAGTGGCATGGTATCAGTATTAGATAGGGGCACCAAAAGTGAAGGGAAACATTTTTTTCAAACAGTTAGTCATAAGTTCCAGCAATGAGGAATTAGATGCCCAATGTAGTGTCTGAAATACAGAGCTCTACATTGCTAGCTACTATCCATTTGTTAATACCACAATCATTGGGTGTTTTTATTTTAGTACCAGACTGTACTACAGACAACAATGACCATATTGGTTTCACACCAAAGCATAGAAAAAGTAAAGAAAAGCCATGGATTGGAATATCACGGTCAAGATGAAAAACACAGAAATCAACTGTATCTGAGAAAACTAAAGACCTGCATGCTGGAGCAACATACAGGTTCAACAACAAATGATATGAAAAAAATGAGGGATAGTGTACAACAGAGGGTACGATTATTTCTACCTCTGTCTCAATCTTTCAATTGGTCACAGTCAGAGACTCAGTGTCTTTCTCTCTTACTGTTTGTTTGATCTTTCTGCATCTCTTTCTTACTCTATATCTCTATTTTATGTTGCTCCTTCTCTCTCTTTGCCATTTCTCTCTTTTTCTTTATGTGCACTTGTCTCTTTCTCTTTGTATCTCCCTCTATATATGTATATGAGGGTTTTACTGTGTGTCTCCTCTTTATGTGTTTCTTTTTCTGACTCTTTTATGTCTCACTCTCTTTCTCTCACCTTCTCCCCCCCCCCCCCCCCATCCCTTAATCATTGTTGCCATGGGGGGGGGGGGGGGGCTCAGGAAATGGAGACTGAGACTGAGGCCTTATGTAGGGGATCACCCCTACTTTGGACTTCAGCCTTTGCCTCAACTAATTTTGCATGGTCTTTTCTTATCCCTCTTTCCCTTTCCTTCTCTTTTTCATCCCCTTCTTCTGTCCTCTTACTAAGGTACGAAATCTGGGATGAAAAGATGAAAGGCTGGCTTAGTATCATTCCTGAATGGCCTCTGGGAGCCATAGGCACAGTATTCCCTTGGCTAATCGCTTAGCCCTTACCCCGTATGGAGACCCAGAGGGGTAGACCGTTTTTTTCCCCTCATATTTCAGGCTCACCATAGCCAATATTTTTTTTTTTTTTTTAACCCTTATTAAGGGCATTAAGGCTTGCCCCTTAATCTACTAGTTTATCTAAATTCAATTTTTTCTGGTTTCCTAACCCCTGCCTCTCCTTTGACCACAACTACTACTAATACCCCCTTCTTAGGGTTTGCTATCAGCTCTGCCCATTCTGAATCATCCACTCACATCATTACTCAGCCCTCATAATACACCCCTTCCTCTCTCCCAACATACCCCACTCTATATCCTACTGCACTGTCTTCTTCATCGTCTACCCTTTCCCCTCTTATTACTATTTTTCATCCCTATTGTCCTCCTTCCTACAGTACTACCTCACTCCACACCACCCGATCTTCCTCCTGCCCTCATCCTTATACTGCTTTCACCTCTGCTAACCTTTTGAATACTCGTTTTGGCCTGGCCAAGTGGGATCAATTCCTTGCAATTCCCCCTACAGCCCCTTACCCTGACAATATTATTCTCTTCCAACAAAGTCTCAAAGTCGGCAAAGTTTCCTTTTGTAGTTCTGATTAATCACGCCTTGTAACAGTTACATCTGAGTCGTACACTGACCTTATTAGTAAACCTATTCCTGTCCAACTTCACTCCCTTAATACTTGTACCAGAACTGTTTCCATCTCCCTGACTGGTTGTCCTGTCTATGACAAGGAATGGTCACACTAGGAAAACAACCTGCACTCCTGCCTCATCGACTATGATGAAGTATCAGTACAGTGCTACACTATTCCTCCCAGAGGCCAGCGTAAGTCCTACACCAATATTGCCAAGATTACCTTCCAGACATGACCTCTCCCAGGAAGTTTATATTAGTGCAGCATCCTGCTCTGTCCGACCATATCGACCTCTTCCCCATCAATGTCAGAAATGTTGGAACATTGGCCACCCTGCCAAACATTGTTGCTCCACAGCCTGCTGCCCCATATATGCCCAACCTGGTCATGACCATTCAAATTGCTTTGCTCAGTCAAGCATGTGTGCCATATATGTTATAGGAGCTGCCCTGCCTAGAGGCTCAAATCTAAGATTGCAGTTCTCTGATTCAAATTAGGCTTTACTCTACATGAGACCAGACAAGAAGCACACAGACAAGGTTTTTCTCTTTCTACTTATTCCATAACTGCCCTTTGCTTTGCTCCTCTCCTATCTTCTCAAGATGTCATAACATCTCCTCAGTATCTCTTCCCTTTACCCTGAACCATCCTACCTCTACTCCCTCACTTCCCCAGTCAAGTCCCTTTTCCAGCCTAAATCCAGGTACTCTAATCTCTACCACCTCTCCAATGCCTACCTCTTCTCCTCACTCAACTTTTCGCACTAGACAATTTAAACATTCCAACCCATCTTCTACGACATTCTGTCCTACACCCACCTTTTCCTCAACTCTTCATCTTTTTATCATAAATAAACCTTTATTTCTCAGACCTCTCCACTCAACTCCCCTCCAGAAACTCTATTCCTATTTGTTCAAAGTATTTGCCAATATCCCTCCTCCTCCTCCTCTTCCTCCTCCTCAAGTTCCCCCTACCCCTCTTCCTTCCACTCTCACAAAAACCACCCCATCCTCTCTTCATCCATATGCATCACCATTCCCTCTTCCTTTCCCACTATTCTTACCACTCCCACCTGAATGCTCATGTTACTCCTGTATTTCACAACAATGTCCCTTCTCTGGTCCCCCCTCCCCCTCATGACATTCTTCCTGACACTTGACAAACCTTGATATCTGGCACATTTATTGGTTTTGCCCGTTAACAATTCTGGGAATCCATAAAATATGCTCAATGAACCAAAAATCTTTGATGCAGCAGAAAATTTTTAATAAACAAAAATGAATCTCACTTTCAATTTCTCCTTTCTCCTCCTCCTCCTTCTCCTCCTTCTTCTTCTTCTAGGATGTGTGGGGAAACTGAACAAACAAAAATAACTATTTGGCATTGTAAGTCTCACCAGTGTGTAAAGAGCAGACATGCCCACTATGTAGATAGTGATCTTTATAGGGTTTTCTTTTCACTCTAAGGAGATTGGGATCATTTTACTTGCATGTGCATTAAATTTATGGCTAAGCAACTTCGAAATTTAAAAAGCAAGATGTTTGTCGTGGTCTTAGAGTTGTAATTAAGAGGGATAGTAACCCAGTTCTCAGAAGGGGCATATGTTATCTTCTAACCAAAGAAAAACACAGACTGGTTTGCTTTTATGCCATAAGATTGGTGGTATGATATTTTAGATATGAGGAACTTCTGGGTGCTATTGCAACCAGCCTCTGAGGGGAAAAAAAAGGAACAGTTACCAAGCTCTCCAATTGTAAACTGTCAGTTTTCTATATACCACACTAGAAATATTAACTTCAGATGCCAAATAGACTGTTTCCTGCAGTAAATTTTCCCCTCTTTGTGAAATATGTTACTATTTTCCATCATTTGAAGTTTCAATTTTTTCTGAGGGAACACAATTTGATGCTAGGTGGCACATTGGAAGTATAATGATTTAGTATCTAGAATAATGACTAAAAGTGTAATTACTGTGGGGTTCTCACTTGCCTCTTCTCTTGGTTTCAGACCTAGGGGAAATATGTGGCCTGAAGTAGGAGAGGGAGAGAGAATCATTGTTCGCGCTGAAGTTAAAGCAGAATTTGACACTGACCTTGGCAAGGTGAGATGTCCCCACAATAATAATGCACATCAAAGTATTGAGACAGCTATTGATATTAATAATAATATCCATATTAATATTAAAGATTATGTCAATAACTGAAGATAGAGAACAGTTAGATATAACACTAAGAGTATATGAAGATTAACCTTAACAGAAAGAAAGAGGGGAGGGGGGGGTTAATTCAAAATTCCAAAATCACCCCATTCACCTGTTGGTTCTGTGTACCTTATGGGCCCATATGTGCACCAAAATTTGTTCTCTCGTGTAGGCCAGGCCCTCATGAACACTCATGTGCAAAATCAAGACTCCTTATCTCCTCTGTGCAGTACTAAAATGTATAAGCTTTTTTCTATTTTGCCTTTTTCTGAGGTCTATATTTGTCATTTGTTATGCTGTATCTAGATGGTAATAGACTGTTTTTGTTGAACAGACTTCTGTTATCTATCTAGTCAGTCTGCAACTCTTTGTAGTAACAATACCAATACGCAGCATTGTGCTCTTTGTCATTTTGTAATATTTTCTTATTCAGTGTTAAGTAAAGCACCCAGCACTGCCGGTCACAGTGGGCAGGAATAGGATTTTAAGCATCGAAATAGCCTCCCTGGAGCCAGCACTCTTCTATGCATGGCTCATGGATTGTACACTTGTTCACTAGTGGAAATACTGCAAGAGCCCCTTCCTATGTGCCTGCTGAATCTAAATTTCCTCGAGGAGCTTTGCACACTCATGGCAAAACGTCCCACCACCCACCACTAGGCAGCAATGTCTTGTGACAAGTCATTCCTGTCACACCCACCTTCAGCCCAATTTTTTCATGATGGCATATTCCTGTCACCTGGCCCTCAACCAAATTTTTTTTCATGATGTGAAGGTCATGTTATCCAGATCAATAGGTTAATGAGGATATCTATACCTAGTAGAGGTTTTCAAAGTATAAAAGCACTGTTTTAAATCAGACACATATAACCATAAATTGGGAGAGAATACATGTCGCTGCGGCCTCGCCCTTTTTACTTTGGAGTTGGTTTACTGAATGAATACATCTATGGATTCTGGAGAAAAACCATGGTTGTTGTTGCTTCCTTTATTCTCCATAACTGATGAATACAGTTTCTACATCTTCCATATCCGTAATCATACGTAAAACTGAAAACAAAACAATTTGGAACGTAACAACTGTGGCCACTTGGTCTTATATACTATTAAATTCGTAATAGTTCACACAATTAACGCAATTAAAGCACATTATTGAATGCTAACAAACTTATACAACATAAAATCATAATAATAGGATGGATAAACTAGTACAAAGAATGTAATTTCCCTCCAAACCCCTATAATAGGGCCTGGTGCTGTTTAGGCGACCACAGCTGCCGTTGAAGTAAACAACCGAGTTCCAATACCCGTCTATGTATGCGACTTTGGCACATAGTCTTTTAAAACATTTTTATTCATCTTTACTTTCTTAACTGGGCTGCTACACTTACATGGCTCCCCTAAATTGTTTACAATTTACAATCAACATTATACTACCTTAAAACTATAATCTTTATAAAACTTTCTTTTCTAAAAGTAAATACAAAAATAAAACATTTGTCTTTTATCACAAATAAAATAAAGCTCTTTGGCGTGGACTTCCCTGGATATAAAGTACATTGAGTTAACTCAAATAAAATTTCCATTCCTTATATTCTAATAACATAATTAACATGACACTACTGCTGCTGTCAGTTTCGCGGGACCCGTACGCTTCCTGTTTTGGTCATGTTCAGTCAACAGTCACCGTCACCATGGTGACCGGGTGACGGTCTCTCACAGTGCCACAGTGAACAGTCCACACCACGGTGATGGTCTCTAACAGTGCCACTCTTCACTCACCTACTCACTACATCGGTTCAACCAACAGTACCCGTGCATGGTACAAGTGGACTAACTGAACAGTACTGTACATAACAGAGTAGGCCTTGGGTTCCCAGCTCCTGCCCTCTAACGTTACTTCTCAGTGCAAACGGTCTATTGTGCCTGTTGCCTGCAGATATAAATCAACATTTGCAGATATGGATAGTTTGGAGAATGAATGGGAAAATGTCAGCTTTGTGCAGTGGCCCAAAGAATGCCTTAATGATACTGTTAGTTTCTGGGCTGAGGTAAATGAATACACAATGAGCTCAGGTGTAAAAAAGTTTCCAAATTTATCATCACTTGCACTCTCACTACTGTCCTTGCCTTACTCAAATGCGAGCATTGAGAGAATCTTTTCACAAATGAGCGTAGTTCATTCAAAATTAAGGAATAGGCTAAGTGTAAGATCAGTTAAAGCCATATTGCAAATTCGCTATGGACTGACACTGCAGTCACTGAACTGCTCAACTTTTGTACCTTCCAATGAAATTATTAGAAACTTTGGAGCTAAAGATAGTGCTGAAGAGGCTAATGATGATATAATTTCCATAGACACGGACTAAAACTAGTGAATGATTGCTCAAGCCAGTTGTAGCCTTATTAGTTAAAATTCTTCTTTCCGCTAAACTAACTACTTCTGGCTGCTGTTTCTGAAGGAATTTTTTTAACTACAATTTTGTTATAAAATGATGCAGAAATAATCGTGTAAATACATGTGCACATTTATTCTGTTGATTTTATTAACCACCATGAAAAATAGTTACTATAAAAATTACGAATATTTGTGGGTAGATTTGTGGGTATTTCATAAAAAATTGTGGGATTTTTGTGGGTAAAATGCAACTTTTTTATGGGTAGCATTCCAGACTAAAGTGGCAACACTGAAGTACAAATGAGTATGATTTTAAGGAGGATGTCATAGATAAAACACTATTGTAATTGTAATGCAAATTATGAAAATGGAGTCAAACTTTTTCAGGAAAACCTACAGTACACAGAACCTGCATCTGGATTACACAGAAACAAAGATAATTTGCAAGATAAACAACTGGAAAATGAAACCAATAAGCATTTAACTCTTAAGGCAGCGTTGCACAAACATCCTAGAGATGAACTTACCAAAGAAATAGAACAAAGTAAGACTTTTACAGTTAATCACATGCTGTGCAGTGTAAATACACTGACAGTAGATTTTAAGAATCCTAAAAGGGATTCAGTAGAAAGTACGAATGATAGCAAAAATACCTATATTTCTGATGTAGTAAACAAAGTAGAATATGGTTTAGAAGATTTAGATTGTTCTGCTGATAAACAGACCAGTGAAAGGACACGTTCAAAAGGGAGTAGACTTCAGTCTGATGTCAGGACTAAAGCTAAATTACCTGATTTCCAAGATGGTGATTTTGGCAGTGAATTAAGTGTCATAACACATAATGAAAAGTTGAAGTCTGGTGGATCTGAGAGAAGTGGTGAAGGAGACTCCATTGATGATCATTTTAAGGAAAGTAGGGTGGATAAGTCGAAAGGAAAAACTGGAGATAGATCTATGTTCAGTTGGGAGGGTGGTAAGATGACTCGTAGGAGAAGTGAAAGAATACAGGAGAGAGATGGAAGGGTAGAGACACCAAATGAGGGAATTGAAAAAAGCCCTTGCCAAAAGTTGCCTGGAAGCAAAATGGAATATAATAAAGATATACAGTGTAAGAGAGGTGGTGCTAAAAGACAGTTAGTAGAGGATAAGACAAGTGACATATTCAGGAGGAAAAAGTACAAAGAAAAGCGAGGAAATTCTCCCAAAAACAGCCCAGAGGATTTGAATGAAAATATAATGGACATCGATGATGATGATGATGACCTTCCAGATCTGACTGCTTGCCAAGCTGTAAAAGGTAGAGTGGCCATACAAATTTATTTGTAATATTAAGAAGCTGTGAGAGTATTAGGCAAAAATAAGTAATTTATTTTAGAATAATGGAACTTTAGTGATATATACTTGCATCAGATGCTCTCATGCCAAACCTTTTAAGCCCTGAACGGTGGGTATAAGTATCAGGGGGACCCTTTCTGCAGGGCATAGGTCACCTGCCCATCCTCACAAGGATGTGATATTGTGCCACCCACCATTAATGGTTAAATGTTAAGAGCTGTGAAAATTATTATTTCTATATAGATATCCAATAAGGTATCAGTGCAAAGTAAAGGCTAGTTCAGTATTAGTAATTGGGTTGTTTGGTTCTAATATGCCAGCAACCAAGCATGACAGTTTTCTTTCAAGATCAGCAGGTTCTTGAATGATTGAACCCCCTGCACTGATCTTTTTTGATCTTGGATACAGTGTTGATTATAGCACTTTTCTGGGCCAATCAAATAGGGGAATGGAATATTTCAGCACAATGAAATATTTCCTCATAACAAGCTAAGAAGTAGTTATCCGATAAATATTTTTTTTTATATATTTTCTTGCAGTTTTAGTGTATATACTGATTTTTTTTTTGTTGAAATTAAAATTTTGAATTATTCGTCATTGACAGCTAAACAGCAAAAGAATATTTAGAGGATTAATGTTGGCATGAGATATTTACATGCTGTAACATATTAATTACTCATTTTTCTCTCGTTGCAGGAACACCAAAAGTAGAAATTAAGGTAAATGATCTGATTTGGACTTTGCATAGAGGTTTGTGGTGGCCTTCATATGTTAAACAAAAATATGCTCGGGAAAAGAAAGTTTCGGTGTTTTTCATTGGATGCGACCAAGCCGTTGCAATCAAAGTGAGATGGACAAATACAAGACCATTCTTCAGTCACCACATTCCTCCATATGTGGTAAGTAATATCATTTGTTTATGTTATCAGTTTGTATTGTAAATATAGGGATTTTTTATACATAAATGTCATATGCTAAAGAAATTATTATGCTTCTGTATGGGTATCTGTATAAAGCAGTGTGCTCCAATTTGTACTTATATTTTTTTCACATGCAGATATTCAGAAAGACTTGTCGCCAGAACTGTTTTTAATTATCTGCATTAACAATACTTTGAAAATAAATCCTGGCTCATCCATTGGATTATGCAAAAGTTCTTCTATATCTATATCTACATACATTTATACCTATTGATATCTATATCTATATCTATCTATCTATCTGTATATATATATATATATATATATATATATATATATATATATATATATAATTTATTTATTTATTTATTTGTTTTCTTAGAAGTAAGCCCTCTCTCTCTCTCTCTCTCTTTCTCTTTCTCTCTCCCTTTCTCTTTCTCTCTCCCTTTTTCTTTTTCTCTCTCTCCCTTTTCTTTCTTTCTCCATTTTTCTTTCTCTTTCCCTTTCTCTTTCTCTTTCCCTTTCCCTTTCTCTCTCTCTCTCTCTCTCTCTCTCTCTCTCTCTCTCTCTCTCTCTCTCTCTCCCTCCCTTTTCTTTCAATCTTCTCTCTCTCTCTCTCTCTCTCTCTCTCTCTCTCTCTCTCTCTCTCTCTCTCTCTCTCTCTCTCTCTCTCTCCCTCTCTCTCTCTCTCTCTCTCTCCCCCTTTTCTTTCAATCTTCTCTCTCTCTCTCTCTCTCTCTCTCTCTCTCTCTCTCTCTCTCTCTCTCTCTCTCTCTCTCTCTCTCTCTCTCTCTCTCTCTCTCTCTCTCTCTCTCTCTCCCCCCTTTTCTTTCTCGCTTTTTCTTTCTCTCTCCCTTTCTCTTTCTCCTTCCTTTTCTTTCTCCCTTTTTTTTCTCTCTCTCTCTCCTTTTCTCTCTCTCTTTCTAACTCCTCTCTCTCTCTCTCTCTCTCTCCCACTCCCTCTCCTATCATTATTTATTTTTGTATTCATTAATTTTGTTTCTTAGGACAAATCTGCACAAGGTCTTTTAGAGGCCCTCCAGCTTTGCAAATCTTATTCTCAGTTGCGGGAATATAAAAGTAATATTACACCACATTTTTACTTCAGTCTTCCTGTAGAGGGTAAGTACATGCAACTCTTATTGAAGTAAAAATAATAATGATGATGATAATGATAATGATTGCAGTTATGATGATATTGATAGTGGCAATAAATATAGTGATATGGTGATAATAAGGATGATAATATTATACTGATAATAAATGATTAATAGTGAAAAACGACATGGACTTTTTTTTTCTAAGTGGAATCCTGTATGTCTGAAAAATACTTATTTTCTATATTTAATGTATGTAGTTTCCTTTCTAGACCTAATTTTTTTTTTCATCTTTATACAGAACAAAATGCCCTGATGAATGCAAACACGACTTCAACTTCAGATGTACATTCATCAGACATTTCTAGGGAGAATAGATCTGGTATAGAGGAGACACCAAAGCTACATAAAAGAAGTTCACTCATCAGATGCATGGAAAGTGAAGAAAAAAGAAATACTGCAAGTAAAGAGGTAAGCGTTTCTTGTGAGAAATATTGATTGTTGCTTGTGTGTGTGTGGGGGGGGGGGGGAGTCTCTCTCTCTCTCCTAGGTATTAATTGTCAGTACATTAGTACAAGTTTGTTCCAAATAATGTTTCTCTATGAAGGAATCACTTTCCCATTGGATATGATGCAAACTCTTTTGAAGGAAATATGCTTTTATGTAAGATGTCAAAAAACATGTGATTATATATATAAACTTTTTGCTACTTTTTCCTTCTTCCTACTTTTAATGACTGAAATAAAGTTAATGAAATGAATGAGATATTCCATATTGCATATCATGTTTCAAACAGCTGAGAGTATAGACCAATTTTTTTATTTATATATGTAGATAGATAGATAGATAGATTTTTTTATCATGAATTCAAACTTAGTGTAAAGGTACTAACTACTTTTTAACTTATGAGTCCACTTCCCAAATGATTAATGATTGCTAAGGATTTAGTTAAGGGAATCATGTGATATTTACTAAATAATTCTTTTCAATTTTCCAGTTAGTGATGTCGTCCAGAGACAAAGGGAAACTGAAAGACACAATTCTGGTAAGGCGAAGGGAAAACGAGAAACTGCTGAGATATATAAGATCCGAAGAATGCATCTCTCACTTGTGGCAGATCCTTAGAGGGGAGAAATCGAGTAAACGCCACGATATGTACCAAGAAGAATGTTCTAGGAAATTGCTCATGTCTGGCATTGGCCCCTTCCATCT